TGCTTCCTCCTCCTCCAGGCAAATGTCCCCTTACATACTATCCTCCTTCCTCTTCCTCTAATTCATTTCCTGCTAGCATTTCAGCTTACCTCAGCACTCTGCTGATTTTTTTTTTTTTTACCTGGGAGCATGAATGGCATGACAAAAATTTTAAGAGCACAGAAAAGAACATTTTCTTATCATTTAAAAACATAATAGACTTTAAATAACTTTGAAATAACTGTGAATCAGTTCTAATGATTTTAGTCAGATGGCATCATAAACTTTACTTAAAAATCATAAGTCACATTATTATGAGCAATCAAAGGCAACTAAATATTCAGTTGGCTATTACACTAGCAAAGATGTAAAGGATAAATTATTCTTACCTCTACCTTTGTCCGATAGAGAACAAGTCTTTTAAGGCTGCATAATTTGGCAATGTGGATGAAAGCTTGAGGTGGTAGTTTATCACAGGAGGAAAGATTTAAATCCTGTAGATTTGGACACATCTCAGAAATAACCTCCAAGCAAGTTTCATTAAGGAAGTGGCTGCACGATAATTCAAGGCGTACCAATTCAGATCCACAAACCTTCAGAAACCTGTAAAAAAAAATTCCATGTTTGTAAAACTAAAATACTTTTGCAAAAACTTTGAAATTATATCAACTCTAAGCAGATAAGCAGATACACTTAGAGGTACAGTTTTCTATTAGGGGAAATAGGAAACTTGTTTTGCTTCAATTCTCATTCACTGCATAATGAAGTATGAATGGTTAGGCTAAAATAAATCAACCTGGGAAGATAAAGTGGATTCACATCAAATAAAAAGTCAGCTAATGCTAAGTGGAAAATTAAGAAAGCAGAAAGTATATTTCTCCAACTTACCTGTAATTCACATCTGAATTGGTAAAGCAAAAAAACAAAACTCTAATCTCTTGGAAGATATTTCTCCCTTAACAATACCCATTCAGTACTGGATAATATATTTTGAACACTGCACACAAGGAAACAGCTTGAATTAAATGACCTTAAAACAAATCAGACTAGCTTCCTCTCAACTCAGAAATTTCTAGGTTGGGTTTAACTGTACTGTTGTGATATGTTCCATGTAGCTATTGTTATTTAGCAGCTAGACTGCTTGATGTTGAAATTATTACAAAATCGTCAATTACAGCTTCACATAAAATACACAGAAATAACCCAAAGTAAAGGACACAAAATGCTTTTTCAGAGTAGGAATCACAGTATTTATCTTAGTTACATTACAGTTTGGGGAAACACAGTCCTGTCCATAATCATCACCTGAAAACAATGTAAAGGTAAACATGACTTCAGGAGTATTTGAATCCATACAGCTTTATTAACTAAGCAAATGGAGCCCTCAAACCATGCACCAATTACATCTATGCAGGTCTCTTTACATAATCTTGCCCATGAGTGTCACATCAGTAATATGCTGTTAATTAATGCCACATCTTTTTTCCTAAATGATTTCATGAGCTTAAAAATACACATTCAATTTCTATTTTTAGCTCTCTGAGGTATCTCCAAATTCTTTTCCACAGAGGTTGCACTAATTTGCAGTCCCACCAGTAGTGTAAAAGTGTTCCTGTCTCTCCACA